GCTTGGCTAAGGCAGAGGCAGAACGTGACGAGCTACAGGCAACATCATTTCTTGAAGGGTTCACCGTGTTGGGAGCCTGAGCTGTGAGCTTGTTTTGAGGAGAGCTCGGAGAGCACACGGCGGGAGCTTGAGGAGACGAAAGCCTCTCGGGCGAAGCTCTGCGAGGAGTTGCAGAGGCCGCCGAGTGCGCCAACAGTGCAGTGCCCCGCTCTGATGCGCGCGCGCCAGGGCCGAGGCGGAGTTGGAGACGTCGCGTGACGGGCGCGCGTCTTGGAGAGGAGGGACGAGGGGGGGGGGCCAAGGGCAGTTTTTCCGCAGTCTCGGCTTCCAAGGCTTCAGCCCAGAGACGAGCCCGAGGCGGAGACGGAGAGGAGCCCGCCCCCATTGTCTGCGAGTGGGTTCCGTAGATGCCACCGCGAGGAAGCGTATCGCTCAGCTCGAGCGTCGATCTCAGATGTCATTCTCTGGAGTCTCTCTGGAGGACTCGAGAGTCTAGTGTCACTCGAGGCCTCTCAGTGCCTGTTGCAAGCCGAGGTCGGACCTGCTGCTGCTGCGGGACCGTGGAAGAACAAGTCAAGACGTGTGCTTAAGCAGAAGATGCATCACCTTCCGGTAGGAGCAGCTGCAATATCTGGAGACGGAACGAGGCATGAGCATGCCCGCCTGCCCTTTCTGCAGTCGCTTGATACGACTGTTTCCGACGGGGATTTCTGTTGTTGAAATCTTCGCAAAAGCTTGCGAAGTGCTGGACAGGTAGTATCAACCATTTCCAGTCGACCCCTGTCAAAAAGTGGGAGCTGTCGTACACAGGCTTCGAGCGGCCGAGTGGTTCTGTTTCTAGCAAAATTTCGTCCATGAGTGTGGTCTTGTGGTTGTCCGATATAGATATAGATATAGACATGTACGCTTGTCTTTCCGTAAAAATGGTTTTGTCTCTCAGTTGCAATGATTGATATTCATGTTGTTCAGGAGTGTGTTTGTATTTCCAAAAGCAGAATCAGTATGTACCATGCTGCAACGTTCAAACATAGATATTGTTTTGTGCATTCGTATAGCCCCTCGAGTCCTTGCAGGGCGGCTGTGACTCTCGGAGCTCACGCATCGGAAGGCGCGAATCGAGCATCGGCCCGTGGCAGGCGTTCTTCAAGAGGAGCTACGTAAGGCCGAGGCTGACCTTCGGCAGGCGCAGAGGGTGCAAAGTGCAAACTCGCAACTGCGGTTTGCAACTCCCAAGAGCTCGCCGGCCAGGCCGATGCCGAGTCTCCCGCACCTCCGGGACCTCCTCAGAGACCTCTTCCCGCGACCATCGGCAAGGACGTCGAAGCGCCTTTAGAGGTCTCTGCCGCCGCGGGTCGCGGTCTGCGAGGAAGCCGCGGAGGCCGAGGCCGAGGCCGAGACGAGGAGGCGGAGAGCGGACAGTGCGCGGCAGAGCTCGGCGGGAAGCGCGAAGTTTCGCGTCGAGGCCTTGGCTGCAGGCCAGGCTCGGAGAGCTGGAGGCAGCCGGGTCGGGTTCCAGCTCCAGTGCGGCCTTCCTGCAAGCCGCCGATAGGCTCAAAATGCTGCTCTGAAGCGGTCCTTGAACCAACGGCCGATCGTGTGCCTTGACGCTGTGCAGACGTGATTTGCCTCAGTCATCCGGGATCTCATGCAGGTACCAGTTTGCGCCCCCAGACGCAGGCATCGATTCGCCTGACGAGCAGGCGGCTACAACGAGGCAACAACCACAAAGTCTCTGTGCATTCCCGTGCAGTGCAGGGAGAGGACGATTCACTTCTGGAAGTTGAGGCTTCCGAGCTGAGACAAAGAGAAGCAGAGCACCTTAGAGGAGTTGAGCTTTGTATCTGCAGTATGCACTCAGGTGGTCAGCACGTCGCAGTCCTTTTCAGCTCTTGGCCAGCACTTCGCACAAAGTCTTGCCAGGACTCTGATTGAAACTTTGGCAAATGCATCCGAAGTCAGTCAGCGCAGGCGCTGCTTGTGGTTCTGGCAGCATTGCCGCAAACGGCGGTGCATCGGCTGCCTGATTAGAGTCTTTCCAGTGATCTTGAAAGGTTTCCCTGACTGAGAGGTGGATGTGGGGGCTGGAGCAGCAGCTTCGCTGGCGACTTGGCTGTAACCTTCGCATGCGCCGAGAGGGTTTGTGACTGGATGCCAAGCTCGTGCGGACAGAGCATTGGGGGGGGGGGGGCGATGTTAAGACCCTAAGACCTGCAGACTTGCAGAACCTGGAATCTCCTCTGTGAGTGCATTACAGGAAGAGCCCAGTTTTGGGGAACGCACAGCTCCCGAGAGGAAGTCCTTGTTGGTTCTAGCTGTGAAACGGGTAGCGAGACGAGGAGAGGAGGGAAGCTGGGGGATTCAAGATCGCATTGCTGATCGCACGTCCAGGGCCTTGTCACATTGAGGCTCACACGGCGTATTCTAGAACGACCCTTCCTGATGCGCTGCCCTTAGCCGGCAGACATGGGACATGTTGGCTGTTCTGCTTTGCGCTCAGCTTTGATTGGATCCTTGTCACATTGGTAGACCACGAGTCACGAGTCAGCTTGGCTCGGCAAACGAATGCTAGCCGTGCTGAAAGCCTCGGGTTTCTCTAGTAGTCTGCCGGCAGCAGGAACAGGCTCGCTTCCATCCTAAAGGACTGGGTGTAAATGTTATGCTCACGTTTTGATTCTTTATGCTGTCCACCTCCGTGTCTCCATCCGGAATCCGCCTCGGTGTCTCCATTCCGTTGGCCGAATGTTTGTTTTCTTATTTAAGGGGCTGCGCCCAACGCAGGCACATTTCAGGGCCACCATGAGCCCGGTTTCAGCAGCCTCGACTTCCCACCGGGGTGTGGGGTTGGGTCTGCCTTGGGCTCGAAGTAAAGTACTCTTACTCTAACAGAGCCCCCAAAAAACCATCGAATTCCTCAAGCCTCGCTGAGGGCACTGAATGTGCTGGTGGGTGAACTGTAAAAAACTCATCAAGAGTATGCTCAGGTTCATTTTCAACTGCAATTTATTCACTCATACCTGTCCTAACACACTAAGCCTTCAAGCCTTCAAGTCGTGTTGGTTTCTTTCTCGGTTTTCTGTCGCGAATGCTTGCGAGGCTCTGACGAGCGTCGGGTGTGCTCGATCGTGACCTACTGTAATCTCGTTGCATCATTGCTTCCACTTGCTCTTTGTTCTTGGCTTAAGCTTCTATTTCTTGATGCTCACCTTCTCATTAACCCTTGCGTTTAATTGAATATTTCTTCATCAACAGGCGGTTGAGTTTTTTCAGCATCCTAATCTCGTTTATTTAACCAGCTGCAAATATCAGTGACGCATCAGTACCTGTTCTTATCGTTTGACCCATTGTTCTGCCTGTATGATATAAAGCTTTACCTTCTATTCTTGTTACGGTTGCTACACGGTTGCTACATGATCTGACAATTGTCTTTCTGGTGATGGTCTAGTATTCTTTCCTCATCATCATCGTCGTCGTCGTCATCATCATCATAATCATCATCATTGTCATCGTCTGTTTCGGATGGTTGAACGGAACTATAAGGCTTATCCGTTTGTCTTGACATATATCTAAATGTGTGTGTCATTTCGTGTTTTCTAGTTATCTTTAAGCTTGCTCATCGCCTTTCGAGCCCGCGACGTCACAGCGGGGATCAGAGCGCTCAGGGCGGGTGAACGCCGCTTTTGTTGCATCTGCTGTTGCCGATGCGTTAACGAGTGTGTTTAGGCGCGAAGGCAGGCAGGCAGTCTTTCAAAAAACATTGATGGAGCGCTTGCGGGGGGTTCTCACACACCTATATCTGACTGTAGCGGCATCTGGTGCTTAGTTTCAGTTGCCGGGTTCTTTTGTGCTCAAACCTGGACTGACGGAGCAGACGAAGTATTGACGGGTCAGGCCCGAGAGCTGACAGGAGTTGTACCACGAAACATCGACTAGAAGGGCAGTTTTTCAGAGGGGCACTTAAGCGCCATGGGGCCGCTCCCAGGTGGGTCTTCTACCTGCACGTGCTGGTCCTCTGGTGCCTTGAAGTTTGGCATCAGGCGGCTCTGCGGCTCGTTATGAAACGTGCTTGCATTTTGTTTTGTTGAGAGGCCTTGGCGAAGCCTCTACCGGCAGATCCTGCCATGGCACTCGAGTCGGCAGTGCAGGCCGGGCTCTACTTCGTGAAACAGCGCGGTCTGTGATGCTCTTCAGGCTGCGCGAGGCGTCCAGAACCCAACTGCTCTGCAGCCTGACATGAGTAGTGTCCCTCGAGATACTAAGGGCTGAGAAGCTGAGACTCCGTTGTCGCCGTGGCCAGGCCGCCAGGCCACTGAAAACGGCAGCTAGAAGACATTTCGGGTGCTGCAGGCCGTGCTGCAGGTGCAGTTGATGCCTGAGCATCGAGGAGAAGCATCACAGCCGACGTGAGATGGCGTCAGCAGCCCCGAGCAAGCAGCTGCCAGCAGTCCTTGGCACGACGACGTCCCCAGACATCTTAGCGATCAGCGGGACCGGGATTGCAGCAGTGACATTGTGATGGACGTTCTGGACCCGAAGCGCTGGTCCTTTCGGCCGCGTGGCACCAGCTCTCTGACATCACAGCAGAGAACTTGATGAGACTGCAAGAAGATTGCGACGCCAGTTGGAGATCCTGTCCTTTGCACGACATCGCCGACTGCTGCAAAGAGCCTTCGTGACGTTCGATCCCTGCAGATTTAAAAAGTCGAGAGCCATCTAGACCAGAGCTGAGAGACTTAGCTCAAGACTGCGTGCTTTGCTTGACATGGCCCAATGGCGAAGGCCGGCCCCACGACAGGAAGAGTCGCAACACACCACACATTGCAGCAGACAGCACTTTGAAGGAGCTAGAATCATGACGCGAGCCTCGGAGAACACGCCGCCGCAGCCGTTTAATTCGGATGGCGCCGAATGGCATTGGGATCGGCAGTCCTGACCTGCGACGAGGCGCTCCGCCTAGCGAAGGCGCTCCGCTCCGGCGCCTTTTCTTTTCGAAAAATGTGTGTCCCCCCCTTTTTTTTTTGGCTGTGAGGAGCACTCGTGGGCTTCGCCGGCCTCTCCGGCCTCTTCGCCTTCGGTCTCTCGTGTGGATTCGGCGAGTGAGGCTTCCAGCGGCTTCCGGGCGGATGGCTTCTTCGACTTCGAGAGGCGAGGGAAGGTCTGGGAGCTGAAGCGCCTGGAGCGCTTGGAAAGTCTCCGGCGCCTCAAAGAACTCCAAGAGCTCTCGCAGTGCTCCTTCCAGCCGAAGCTCGCAGCGCCCAAAGCGGCCTGCGAAGCCGAAGCCGATGCACCGAAGCCTTTGTCACCCTTGTCGAGCTCTGCCCTTGCTGCTCGTCTCTGCCAACCACTGCCCTCAGAGCACATGCGCTCCTTCCATCTGCGGAGACTCCATGATTCGCTCGAGGAGCAGAGGATGTCAGAGTGCACCTTTCAGCCGAATTTGTCGAAGAGCACCTTTTGGCTGAGCCTCTCAAGGCTGCGCCACGAGGCCGAGGACGAGCCGAAGAGGACGAGGTCGGCGCCGAGACAGCCGAGGCCCAGGACGCCCCCAGATGGCACAGATTTGGCACAGCGACTGCATGTGACAGCTCTTGGCAAGAGGTTACATAGGCTAAGTTTGTATAGGACGCAGGGACACGCAGGGACACGCAGGGCGCAGCGGTAGCCCGTAGCCGCAGCCCGTAGCTTCCGCTTTCTATCTGCGCCCAGAGCGACTGAGGAACTCCGTGCCACTCTCGATGACCCGAGCCCAATCCTATCTGGCGCAAGATGTTTTTCATCGCTTAGGTCGTGGAGGTTGTGCAGAAATGCTGGAAACTCATGTTCGTTCGCCCTTACTCTGAGACTTGGCAGGCTCGGTGGCAGCGCGGTCCAAGCGCTCCAAAAGTGAGGAGTCTTGCAAATTAGCTGTCCGCGTTCGCCCGCGTTCGCCTTTTTGCTTTCGCTTTTGCTTTAGCGGGTGCAGCGCAGCTCTGGCGCTTTTTGGTGCAGGACTCGGGTTTGCGCCTGCCGGCCGCTGGCACGCCCTGCAACCCCATTCTGGGTTTCTTGGAGCGCCAGAACCACTGCGAAGATCTGCGACGGCAGAGACTAGAGCAGATCGCTTCCGAGATGGAGAAGCCAGCAGCGGCAGCAGCACAAGCAAAGATCTGCAAGGGGTCGAAGTCGCGGCAGCTGTCGCGGCAGCTCGAAAGCAAAAGAGGCAGAGCGGGAGAAGAGGAGCCGAAGCCTGAAGGCCGAGGCGAACGAGAGAAGGAGGCTGAGTGGAGCTTTCGACCCAAGATTTTGGAGATCTCTCAGAAGCGGCAGCCTCGTGGGTGCCGGGAGCTGAGCTCGGGCGACTCAGAGAGGCAGAAGCGGCGCCTGGAAGAGCTCAGAGAAGATCTTCTTCAGACGCAAGAAGTGAGCTACTTTACGCCCAAGCTCAATGCCTCAGAAACCCCTGGCACCTAACCGAACATCAACCTGTGTGACATATTTAGTCTTCAGTGATTCGTTTGGGGCCCTTGCTTTCGAAGGTGTCTTGCGTGTACTGTTAGCTGGTTCTGAGGCAGGCTCTGTGTGCTGGACGAGCCGGAGACCTACACGGCGCGCTTGGCCGCAGACCGTGAAAAAAGCTTGGCTCTGCGGGAGAGAGAGCTTCAGCAGCGGATTGATGAGGCTAGGCCATGCAATGGGATGTGCCTCGTTGCGTCCCCTTCAAGGGCCTTCTCGCCTGAGGCACTTGCAGAGTGCACGTTTCGTCCAGCAGTGAACCCAGGCCCACCCAAGTACATTACTCGAATGGCTGAGAGCCACAGAGCTCTGAAAGAGCTCCGACTCGGACTGGCCTCCCGTGAAGAGCGCGGGGGGTCTCTGACTCTGCGCCCCGACTGGAGGTGAGAAAATTCCTGCATGCGATGAGTCGCAGATTCGTCGCGCCCTGGCACGCTGGTGTCCCCTTGGTCCTGTGTTCTCGAGTCTGCCGCCAGAATGTGCTTAAAGCAGAGCTGGAACTGCTGGAATTGCATAAAAGGGGCACGGGCTATGTGAGACTTCTGACTCATGTCATCCCATGTCATCCCTACGGTCTTCCTTTGCGCTGATGGAATCGCAATGCCATGGGCGAAGTTCCAGAAGCCTTACGATTCTCCGTCGTGCTATTCCTGTCCTACAAAGACATCATCATCTGCCACTCGGTAGAGACCAAGAGGGGCGCACTCGCGCTCTCGCTGCTCTCTCGCTCTCCCCTCTCCCCGGTTTTTCGCCAAGGCATCGCAAGCTCGGCCTTGGCGGGGATCGGCGTGGGCTTCTTCAGCTGCCTGCTTTCCTCAGCGGATAAGCAGAGGCCGAGAGCCAGGGCCGAGTGCGAGGCTTTCTCCCTTCGCCCTCTCTCCGCCCTTTAGGCAGCTGAATGGGGGAAAGCACACGGACCGCAGCCGGATCCGCTGCGTGCTGGGTGCCATAGGCGGTTTAAGGGGAAGCCGACGGTGGCAACCAGCAGCCCTTCGCCTGCCCCACAGGTTCCACCATCTTCGGCATCCTCTCCCTGGTGGGCCTCAACTATGGTCCGGTACGGCCCTAACCCGAACTCATAATGGGGCCCGGTCCGTCCCGGTGCAGATGAGGTGGCCCTCGTCGTGGTTGTACGAGCAGGGGCGACCCTGCCTGCGAACGCACTCTTCAGCCAGGCCTGTGGTTACACCCAGCTTTCGCCCCGAGCTTGGCGTGTCGCGTTCGCAGGTCTTCCAGATCAGGCCAGCGTCAGCAGCACAAGTCGAGCCATCTCACATCGCATGTTTGTCAGGCCGCTGACTTCCAGTGATGCCTTAGGCACTCTTGTAACTCTGTCAGGCCATGCACTGCACACAGCGTGAACCGCAGCTTCGCTTCGGTAAACCCCCGTCGATTTGTCATTCTTCAGGCGTTGTGTGCTTCACGCTATTTCAGGGTGATCCTGGACCAGAGGCCTGTGTGTCAGAGCTCCTCCGATAACTGCTCTTAATGCCCTGGCCAAGGTCACTGAAAGCCTCTTTGTTCAGCTTCTTCAGCGTCCGGCGGCCATTGCACGCACTTCGGAGTCGATCGGAGACTTTGAGTTCGATTCTTTGAGTTTCTGAAAGAAAGAAGCCGTTCTTGAGGTGGTCGGTGGAGTTGTGCTTCTGGCTCTGCTGCTGTCGGCTGGAGCCCCGAGTGTTACGCACGTGTGTGTGTGTGTGTATATATATATATGCTCATGCCCCCCCCCCATGATCATCCACCCGAACCTGCTTTATGTAAGCAGTGGATCATGGGAGGTGG